TAGTGTTATTAAATTGATTTTGTAGCATTCCACTTGCCATGTATTTGACCTTGCAGCATTTTGACTTGTAGTTTAAGATGATAGATTGGACAAACACATGAGATGGTAGAATTGTTTTTTTCTTTTTTGTTAGCTTTATGTCAATTAACCATTGCACTATTTTTATATATAAAATATAATCTAAGCTCTTTAATTTGAGTAATTATTTATAAAAATAATATGGCTGATATATAAGACATTTAAATTAGATTTGAACTTAGTTTGAAACTTTGTAATTTGTTAGCTTAAATTTATGAGTAAAGATTGCAGGAACTGTATTTTTTTTAAAAGCCCAATAGGCCTGTTTAAGATTGGGGCAAAGTGGATATTTGTGAACAACTGCCTGGGCCAAGTCATGAAACTGACATAACCAACTCGTTATGAAGTCAGAGAAAACAACTGCCTGGCCCAATAGGCCTGTTAAATCTTCTTCAGCTTTATTCTTGTTTGCTCAATCTATGATAGGGTTTTGCAGGTGAATGATTAGCGTGTGAGAAAGTTGAAGTCAGAGAAAACGGAGAGAAATGGCAAGCCAAACAGCTACCTCTTTTAATGGCAACTTGAAGGTAGTGTTTTCTACTTATACTACTGATCTGTTGAATTTTCATGATCTTTAATGGTTAATTTCTCTGCCTATTCCAGTCTCGATACTTATAGAACTCATCCATTGTTTGTTTTCAAACCTCACCGAGCCCTAAATTAGTATATTAACGAAAGCCTATTTGATGTTTGTGAAATGTACTGAGAGAAGTTTTTCTTTAACTCAGTGTGCACAATCAGTAACAGAATATGTGCTTTGGTATTCATACAGAAAGCTCTTGCCGGCCTGAGGCGTATTGATCTTGATGGGTTGCGGTGGAAAATATTCGATGCGAAAGGCCAGGTTGTTGTTTATAGTTTTTATACTATTTATGGTAGCATTGAAGGGGTCGGGGTAGGAGATCGTTTTTCATTTTTGTTTTCAAAATTAATTTTGAGCACAAGTCCTTGTGCTTTATTTTCTACTACTTCTTGGGGCTACAAATATTGAGATGAATAAGTGAAATTTTATGAAATTAGATTTGCAGAGGGTGGATGCTGAAGCAAATGGCTTCTTGATCCAGTTTTTGATGAATTCTGAACTTGGTGGAATTACATCGTTCATTTGTTAGCTTATCAATTGCTTGAAGTAGCAACCTTTGCAGAAAAATAATGGCTATGTACCCTTCTTTTAGGTTCTTGGAAGACTAGCATCTCAAATATCAACTGTGATTCAAGGGAAGGATAAACCAACATATGCTCCAAACCGAGATGATGGTGATATGTGCATCGTGCTTAACGCAAAGGATGTTTGTGTCACGGGGAGAAAACTAACCAATAAGGTTTATCATTGGCATACTGGGTAAGTGCAGTTGTTTTAGAATTACTTTTGTGAAAAGTTTTCAGTGCTACAACCAAGGGGAAATTCATGAAAATAAGAGCATTCAAATCTTGTTGTATGATTAGTATAGTGCAACAGAGTCTTCATTTTAGCTTTGAACCTTTTTGTTTTAATGAAAAAGTATGTCCCCTTAAAATTCGTTGAAATCAGCAAACTAATCCTTTAATTTAATTTTATATGTCTGTATTTTAGTTCTAAACTTATCCCCACAACAAATTAATAAAAAAATTAGTCTTTTAATTCAGTTGTGGGAATTCTCAAGTTTAGTCAATAATTATATGAATGAGCAAAGGAAATGAATAGAATTGATTCATGATGTTTCCTAATACCCTCTAAATAAAGTCCTCCTTGTCTTTGGTCTTGATGTTGAATCATATATGGCCTGTAGGTATATAGGTCACCTCAAGCAAAGGACTTTAAAGGATCAGATGGCCAAGGACCCTACAGAAGTCATTCGCAAAGCTGTATTACGCATGCTCCCAAGGAACAAATTGCGTGACGTGAGTTTTATAGTAGTAGCTTTTCTTCTGTTACGTTTTAGTTTATA